GCATGTTCTCCCTGACGCTGGGGCCCAAGGCACAGAGGTGGTACCATTCCCTTTACCCCCGCTCCATCTCAACCTGGGCACAGCTGAGGTCGGCATTCCGATCTCACTTCATCGGATCGCAGGTCAACCTCGCCCCCAAGGAATCCATCTCCAACATTGTGCAGGGCGAGAACGAAAGTCTAAAGGATTACATTGTCCGGTTCAATGATCGGGTCCAAAATATGGAACGGTGCCACCCCGACGCCTTGCTCATCACGGCCCAGGGCGGCCTCAGGCCGAAGACACTGTTCAGATGGTCCCTGTGTCAAAACAAGCCGACCACCTACCAGGAGTTCCTCACCCGCGCCCAGGACTATATCATGGCGGAGGAGTCCTCCTCCATCCCGACGTTCGACGCTACGCCGGCACCGACGCAGGCGAAAGGGAAGGCAAAGGAAGAGAAGTCGGGAAAACCGAGTAAGTCGTTCGCCGAGATCCGGGCTCAGCGGAGGCAAAGGGCCGAGGAGCTGAAGGAAAGCTACCAGGGTGTCTTCTCGGTAGGGGCCGCGGCAGTCTACGAGGAGATCAAGGCCAAGGGGTTACTGCCGGACCCTAAATCGATGTTCACCGACAAGGACAAGGTGGACAATACCGACCAGTGCCGAAATTTAATCTCGGCACTGCTTAAGCTGATTGATGACCCCCAACTCCGGAGATTCACCCACTCCGGAGAGAAGAGGAAAAAAGGGGGCCGCTTCGAGGAAGGCCCGGACAGCGAAGAGGATGCCGACGTGAATCCTCGGAGGAAGAAGCCGCAGCAGGGCGGCCCCCACGAAATCATGACCTTCTGCCCCACCCACCAAGATGAGGCCGGCACCTCCAGGGGCAGAAAAAGAGACCGGTCTCCTTGCACCGGGGCCGACCCGGCAAACCTCCCAACCTGGCGCGTCAACACCAGCCGGGGCGAGTCCCTCCTCTCCAGGAGGCAAACCAAGGCCTACGCCCGACAGGCCTATCATGCCGGGCAGAGGGTAATGCATGCCCACAGCAGGCCGGCGCCAGAGCCGACCCCAAACACCATCACCTTCAATGACGAAGACGCCTTCCTGTTCGATCACCCCCACTCAGACGCCCTGGTGATCACAGCGCCGATCATGGCGATAAAAATCCACCGCATCATGGTCGACACCGGGGCCTACGCCAGCATCCTCTACTACGAAACCTTCAAAAAGATGGGGATCGATAGGAAGGAGGTGCAGCCTTGCCGGGAGCGGATCCAGGGCTTCAACGGCCAGACCGTCGCCCCGGTTGGGCAGGTCACGCTGCCGGTCCGGTTTGGGGAAAGGGGGCAGCCCACGAAGACGATCTTGGAAACCTTCAAAATCGTGGACTGCCCAAGTGAGTACAACGCCATACTGGGCAGGACGGCGCTCTACAAACTGAAGGCCGCCGTCTCCATCTTTCATTACTCTCTCAAATTCCCAACGCCCGATGGGGAGGGGACCCACCGAGGAGACCAAAGGGAGGCGCGGGAATGCATCCTGACCATCCCGCGCACCGAAATAAATGTGGCAAACCTACAGGAGGACGCCGGGGTGGCAGACACCGAGTCGGCACACGACGGTCACAAGGGCAACCGCATGCTGGGAAACCAGACAGGTTCGCACCCCACGACCTCATCGGGTGCCGACCCCACAATCACGGAGCCCGACGCTGGGGCAGATAACTTGGCCCCAGGTGCCGAGATGACGGACCCCGTCAAAACGGAGTCGAAGACAACCTCGACGGGGACAGGGGGAGAAGGGCTGGCAAAAGGCCGATCATCGAGGAGGACGAACTCGACCCTCGGACACAATACGAAGAAAAACGGGGAACGAAGAGGGCCGAGCCAATGGACGAAGTCGAAGTCATCTTCATCGATGAAGAGACTTGCCAGAAGCAACTCCGGATTGGGAGCAGGCTGCCGGGGCTTATGAAAGCCGAACTGACCGAGTTTCTCCGGCGAAACGCAGACGTCTTTGCGTGGACTCATGAGGACATGGTCGGCATCGACCCACAGGTCGCCTGCCACCGGTTGCAGGTCGACCCCACGGTCAAGCCGGTCGTGCAGAAGCGGAGGAAGCTCGGCCCCGACCGACAGCAAGCCTTGGAAGAAGAAGTGACCAAGCTCAAGGATAACGAGTACATACGCGAAGTCCGGTACCCGACCTGGGTGGCCAACCCGGTACTCGTAAAGAAGAGCAGCGGGGCATGGCGGCTGTGTATTGATTTCTCCGACTTAAACAAGGCGTGCCCCAAAGACAGCTATCCCCTCCCTCACATCGACTACATGGTCGACGCTACATCAGGACACGAGCTGATGAGCTTCATGGACGCGTACTCCGGCTACAATCAGATTCCCATGCACCCGGACGACGAGGAACATACCTCCTTCTACTCGGCACGTGGTCTCTACTGCTACACCATGATGCCATTCGGGCTAAAGAACGCCGGGGCCACCTACCAACGTCTAGTTAACAAAATGTTTGCTAGTTTGATAGGTGAATGTATGGAAGTGTATGTAGATGATATGTTGGTCAAGTCCGTGCACGCGTCCAATCATGTAAACGATCTTAATAAAATGTTTTCTATTTTGCGTGATTATTCGATGAAGTTAAACCCGAAAAAATGTACTTTTGGTGTTGGTTCGGGAAAATTCTTGGGGTACATAGTTAGTCAGCGCGGCATCGATGCAAACCCCGAGAAAATCAAGGCGGTGCAAGACCTCCGACCGCCAACATCAATTAAAGGAGTCCAGAGCCTGACTGGCAAGCTCGCCGCGCTGAGCCGATTCATTTCAAAGTCCACCGACCGCTGCAAACCTTTCTTCGACGCTATCAAGAAAAATCACAAATTTGAGTGGACGCCGGCCTGCCAAAAGGCGCTGGAGGCAATCAAGGAGACCCTTAGCCAGACTCCGACGATGCAGAAACCCCGCCCAGGCGAAATGTTATATCTGTACCTGGGAATTTTCGAGGTGGCCGTAAGTGCCGCCCTGATTCGAGAAGACGACTCAGGTCAATTCCCGATCTATTACGTGAGCAAGGCTCTTCACGACGTCGAGCTGAGGTACCCGCCGATGGAGAAGCTTGCCTTCGCCTTGGTGACCGCAGCTCGAAAACTCAGGCCCTATTTCCTGGAATACCCAATCACGGTCCTCACGGCCTACCCGCTAAGACAAATCCTACACCGACCCGACACCTCGGGCCGAATGGTTAAATGGGCAGTGGAGCTGGGACAATACGATATCCAGTACCGACCCCGAACAGCAATGAAGGGGCAGGTACTATCGGACTTCATAGCCGAGTTTACGCCGGGAGTCGAGGAAACGAAGGGCGAAGAACCTTGGGTGATGTACGTAGACGGGTCCTCCACCGCCGGACGAGCAGGCGGAGGGGTCGTCCTCGTGGATCCCCAAAAAAGGCTATTCTGCCACTCGATTCAATACCTCTTCCCGGCAACCAACAATGAGGCCGAATACGAGTCATTGCTATCCGGGCTCGCTTTGGCCGAAGCCATGAGTCTGACCGACCTCACCATATAGTCCGACTCCATGCTGATGGTTAAGCAAATTTCTGGAGAATTCGAGGTCAAAGAGCCCAGACTAGCCCCATACTTGGGACTAGTGAAGAGGAAGTTAGCCAAACTCTGGACCCGAATAGAACATATTCCGCGGACGTAGAACGTGCAGGCCGACGCCCTAGCCCGACTCGCCTCAAGTGCCGGGGTGAAAAGCGTCGAGTACGTGCAAGTCGCGCACAAGGAGCAACCCTCTGTGCTCGGCATCTCCGTGATGAGCGCCGACCAGGCCGCCGCGGACGAAGAATCAAATTGGATGATCCCGATCCGGTCGTATCTCGAGACCGGTGCGTTGCCGTCTGACCCAAAAGTGGCCAGACAGCTCCGTACCCGGGCAGCTCGATTTACGATCGTGGCCGGTGAGTTGTTCAAGAGAGGATACTCGGCACCCTTGCTCAAGTGCGTGGACGATAAGAACGCCGAGTATATTCTGAAGGAAATCCACGAGGGCATATGCGGAAACCACTTTGGAGGATATGCCCTCGCCCAGAAAGTTCTGAGACAAGGATACTACTGGCCTAACCTGAAAAAGGATGCCTTGGACACGGCTCGAAAATGCGCAAAATGCCAAACATTCGCGCCGAACATCATCCAACCTTCACAACCCCTGAAGTCGATATTCAGCCCATGGCCATTCGCCAAATGGGGTGTCGACCTGATCGGCCCCCTATCTACCGGGAAAGGCGGAGTAAAATACGCGGTCGTCGCCGTAGATTACTTCACGAAGTGGGCAGAAGCTGAGCCGCTAGCCACTATCACCGAACATAAAATGATCGACTTCCTATGGAAATCCATCATATGTCGTTTCGGGGTGCCGAACTCTATAATCACCGACAATGGAAGACAGTTCGAGGGGAAGAAGCTGGAAGCATTTTGCGAAGAGCACAACATCAAACACTTCTTCTCGACACCTTATCATCCCCAGTCCAATGGCAAAGTTGAAGCCGTTAACAAAATTATCAAACAAGGGCTCAAGGTTCGACTTGAAGCCGCGAAAGGAACCTGGCCAGAAGAACTCCCAAACGTGCTCTGGTCGTACCGCACAACAGCGAGGTCATCTACGGGAGAGACGCCGTTCTCCCTAGCATACGGGACCGAAGCGATGGTACCTGTCGAGCTCGGCGCCCCAATCTTTCGAGTAACCCACTTCGAAGAAGAGTCCAACTCCGAGTCGCTAAGAGCCAATCTCGACTTGATAGACGAACACCGGTCACAAGCCGAACTCAAAAACGCGGCGTACAAAAGACGAAGCGAGAGATACATCAATTCCCAAGTCAAGTCCCGCTCCTATCAGGTCGGCGACTTGGTGCTGAAAAGGGTAACGGGGCCCGACCCCGGACCGCTAAAACCAAAATGGGAAGGACCCTACAAAATCAGCGAGGTCCTCCCACATGGGGCCTACCGTCTCGAACACCTAGACGGCACCCCCCACCAATACCCGTGGAATGCGGCCTTTTTGAAAAAAATTTACCAATAGGTCTAGGACGATCTTGTATTTT